AATAATAGAAGTTTGTCATATTATTCATTATACATCTCCATAAAAAAATTTGCGCTGCAAAAGGATGTTCTTACAAAAGAACGATAATATCGGGAGCATGCGCACGTATGTTCATACATATATACTTACATATATATATACTTTCACAAATGTAATTATCATAAGCGCTATACTTCTATGATTGTGTCTACATATGTGTATGTGTATACATTATAAATTATATGTATACCTAACACTTTCGACACCGTATATATACATTTATATATCAATTCAGTATGTAATATATCCATACATGGAATTAATATAAGCGCTATATTCTTATAATTGCATTTATATGAACGTATATGTATATATACATATAATATATATACATGTATGTATATACATGTGTATATATACAAGGTGTTCCGACCTTTTTTGCCAATCACTTTTGTGTAGATAGAATGGACTAAACTGAGTCGAAAAGTCTTCTACCATTTTGCAATTTTCGCAAGAAACAAGATATTAATTACTAAAAATTGCAAAATATTGGTCTTGAATAATTTTTTACTCAAATACTATCAAATCGGAAGTGTCTAAAAAATCGTGCAGACCGTTACGCTGAACACCCTGTATATACAAAAATTATTTATTTTCTTCTCATAAAGTTCTGAGAATTTTTTATCAACTTTTTAGTATGCATTTTCTTATTTTTACCAACATGAGAAAATACGGTATTCAAAAATTATGAAAAAATTCTCAAAACTTTATGAGAAGAAAATAAATGATTTTTATCTCTTGCAGTTTTTCTGTAAAGTTTATAGTATTTGAGTAAAAAATTATTCAAGACCAATATTTTGCAATTTTTAGTAATTAATATCTCTATTGCAAAAATTGCAAAATGGTAGAGGATTTTTCGACTCAGTTTAGTCCGCACTATCAACACAAAAGTGAGTGGCAAAAAAAGTCGGGATACTGTATATGTATATATGTCATGTATATATATATCAGGGCTCGGCACGAAATGCAACTTTCGGCCGATTTTCGAGT